CAATTTCGAGAATCGAGATGAGCTATTTTTTTATGTTGATGATGGAATGTAGATGCTGAGTACATTGGAAGCAAAAATGAATATCAAGCCTTCGATAATTCAAATCAGAACCAGGAAGTTAGCTTGGATGATGATGGCGATCTTGCTTTACCTAGGCGCAGCAGTGAGTTATGCTTACCTTACTATCGTTTATAGTTTTGCTCTGGTTAACTTTACTGTTAGTGTTAGATCAAATAAACTGAAACTAGGATAGTAGAATTGAAGGAATCAGAAAACGCCTGTTAGACTAAAATGCTCAACAAAGTATTCAAAGAATTACTATATGTTTTTAAGATGCACTTGAGCAATGCGAGCTGCCCTCCATAACCTGATCCCGGGTTTTTAACCTCTCTGGATACATATTACCATTAAACTGCGGCTAGTCCATGAAAGTGCATTATTATGAATCTTGTGGCATGTAATAGACGTATCAATAAATTAACAAAATTGAATATTGAGGGAATAGCTAAATATGCACTCACTTACATGGCCTACTACATGCTCTGATTTTCATGGAGTGAGTACCTCTTATGCATGTATGCATTTTTCTTACCTGAAAAGGGCTATAATTTGTAGAGAAATCATCTTGTTTCCAGAATATTCCAAGGACAAGCTTGTTGTGGCTATCCAACATAACATCACCTCATCAATTCCAAGCGTTGGTTTGCAGGTAATAAATGATTTTGTTTAACCTTCATTTTTTTGAAAACTAGTAATGAACTTTATATTATGGAAGTTTGGTATTATAGAGCCCTCTTTGTAGAAAAAGCATGTTATCACGTAATGTTTATAAAGGGCTTCTATGTGTGGGGGTGTGCTTGTATGCATTGTCTCTTTTTCCATACTTAAGTATAAGCATAATATTTTTTTGTGGTATTTGTGTCTCTTTTGTGTTACTTTGCTGAGGCTATTATGCTTGCTCTGTATCAGGTATGGAGAGCCGAATTGGTCCTATCTGATTTTGTTTTGCATAAGATGTTCACTACATCTGAATTTGATGGGATTGTGGCAGTAGAACTCGGTGCTGGTACAGGTAAACTTGAAGTGCATCTCATAAAAGAATTTACTGTCTCATTAAAATTTCACTTGAAATGAAACAGTTTTTATACATACGACACTTTTTCCATACAAATACCATTTATCCATACAGTACTGAATGAAAAAAAAAAAAAAAAAAAGCCCCTCAATCTTCCAACTTTGTAATTAAAGCCCCAATATTGCATTCCAAATCAATTGATTAAATGCTACTAATTAGCTTTTAACTTTAGACCTTCCATTTCAGTTCCCATCTTTGTTGAAATTCTAGACATAAAAATGATAAAACATAAGTGCTTGTATGACAAAATTTTCATTTTATCTTTGTAAAGGCTTGGTTGGTATGCTACTTGCAAGGGTTGCAAAAACAGTCTTTCTAACAGGTATTGGTATTCATTCATGCATATATACACCTATGGCTATACCCATGTTATTTAAGCTCCTAAACAAATGGGATGCATTGCAAATTAACTGATACCTTTATATTATAGATCATGGGGTGGAAATACTTGAAAATTGTGCAAGGAATGTGCATCTTAATTCTGTGATGCTACCTTCTAAAACTTTGGTTTATGTACGTGAACTTGATTGGAAGGCTTCATGGCCCCCTAACCAAAGCAATTCAACATCTTCTCATAGGTCAGGATGAGCATTTGTCAGTCTAACTAAAAACATTTTTGTATTACTATTATTTCTTGGTTGACTAGAACCCGACTGTTTGTTTGTAATCTAGTTATGGTTGGAATTTATCAGAAATTGAAGAACTTGAGAGGGCATCTTTGCTGGTAGCTGCTGATGTAATTTACAGTGATGACCTCACCGATGCATTGTTTACTACTTTAGAGAGGTTGATGTCACACGGTTTGAACAAGGTATCATTTAAAAACACATAGTTGCATAAAAAGGTTTCACTTTCACTGTTGCTTTTGTGTAGTTGATAATGTAATTCTCTTATTTCAGGTGTTATATCTGGCTCTTGAAAAACGTTACAATTTCAGTCTTGATGATCTTGATGTTGTTGCAAACGGGTATTCATGTTTTCGAAGTTACGTAAGGGACGAAACAGGTAAAGATCTCTTCTGTTTGAGAGTGACACTCTTATCTCTTGTCAGTGCAAAAGACGTAAATGCCCTCATCATATATATGGAAAATAGCACTGTCTTGTCTAGTCCTTTACCACTGTTGGTTTCTGATGGTGGTTTGGCAACAATAAATGATGTAGAACACCACGAGCTTCTTCAAAATGGAATGGAATGTGCATTTGTTGGCTCACGAATTGATCTTACAGAGATTCCTCAGTATGCGAATAATTACGATCGAGGACAGGATCTAGAACTCTGGGAAATTAGGTATGCAAGAAAGGTAAAAAAAACCTAAAATTTGAACCACTTTGTAAAAAAGCACTTTCTTTAAGTTTGCATTTTGGTTGTTTTCTTTAACTAGTTACGCTAGAGGTGCACATTCTACTCTAGCACATTCTATTAGGTAGGCTTGTTTGGCAAAAATAAACTGGCTTATAAGTTAGCTTGTTGTAATCTACTATTTAGTAAAACCACAAAAGTCGCTTATTTTAGTTTATGAACTAGCTTATAAGCTAGCTTTTGAACTACCATATGATTTATAAATGTTTTTCATACACTCATGGAAGTTGACTGTTTATATTAGCGTTATATTTGACCTTTCTTATCCATCAATCATCCTCATGGATTTTTTCGGTTCTCCATTTCTTCTCTTTGATTTGTTCTAGAATATGTTTCATCTGTGTTGAATCCAAAAGCAACCTCACTCATCTTTTCAACATCTCCTTCTTTGGCCAATACGACATTCTTCATCACATCGGGCATTTTCTAGTGATGTTGATTGTCGGAGCTTGAATGACATTTAAATTTATGGGCGATTTTAAACCATTTGGAAGACATTTTGGAAGTGGAAGAGAAAATTAAGCTTTTGAATTAATCTGGAAAGTGAATGACTACATATAGCTTTGTTGTAAATCATGTTATGATTTTAACATGTTTATATAGTGGTTGGATGAGATGTTAAGTGAGAGTCGAGTTAATTCACAAAGTGCCTGGTTAGATGGTTGTTACGTAGGATTGGGTGAATTCATAAATGGATTAGTTAGATTTGGAGTTATATTAGTGGAGTGAAAGTTAGGCGAATTCATAAACGGCTATGTGTGCCTTCTAACAATTTTACTCCTTCCACGACAATATAAAAAGGATATGCTTTGATTTGCATAACCATTCTTGATAAATGAACTCTCTAAATTCAAAAGATCTGAGCCACGAACAAAATTATCATATTGGTTTTTTTTAATCCATTTATGCAGCTCTAAACTAAACGAAGTAAAGAAGATAAATACTTGGATGCATTACACAAGTTGAAATTTGTCCTTGGTGCATTCAAATGATCGAAATCCTTTGATTTATTTTATTTTGAAAAATAAGATTTTGTTTGATAATATAGTTATATAACCATGTTCAAATTATCATCACCTTGCGAATATTACCACAAACCAGGCACTTATCATCTGCCTCAACCTAGCTAATCCGTTATAATAGGCTGCCCAACATGTATAACCCATGCTTTTTTGCACTACTATTGTACTTCATTTTTGTTACCATACTTTTTGTTTATCTATAATAACAACGTATTTATATTTTTAACCCATAATAACAACATAGTAAATATTAACATTTATTTGTTGATAATAACAATATGTAATTTGAAACTTGCAAAATATAATTTATGTTTTAGGCAACTTGATGATGCACTTATATTTCTTTTACATATGACAACAATATATTAACATATAACCTTTTACCTATAATAGTAAATACTATTATATTTTTTTTACCAATTATATAATCCAAAAGTTATAAGCACTTTACAAGTTTCAAGCAATATGTTGTTATACTGTTATTATCGGTATAATGATACAAGTATTTTGTATTATATGTAAAAATGATAAATATATTGTTTTTATACGTAAAAAAAAGTTATATTTTAGTGACACCAAATTACCTTGTTAATTAACAATATGTGCACTTAGGCGCAGAGAATTAAGATACTGTGGGTAGGCTAATGCCAAACGAAGCAAACTAAGTTTATTTTCTGAACCTCCACCAACAACTGGACATCACTTGGATGCATCAATAAGATGCCAGAGGTTGGCATTTTATGAAGACATTTAAGCAGACTTATTGTCTGTTGATGGATGACCAGAATTTGAAAGCTTTGGATTTATTACTACAGTATGTATACCAGCATTCTATGTCAAGGTTTGTGACAATTTTGTTTATGTAAAATAAAAGAATAGCCAAAATACAAAAATCAAATTAATACAACTTGTTAAAAGATTTTTTAAAACATACAATTTTTTAGATGACTCGAGCTTAACGACCGTTCAAAAAACCCCAATCATGTTTTATCTGTTCAAAAAAACCCAAAGAATTTAACATTTTGAACAGACAAAACATAATTGGAGTTTTTGAACGGTTTAAAAACTTTGTTGTCTTTTTTTTTTTTTTTTTATTAAAAAATGTTAAGTTTGTTGCATTTTTTTAGCATACAAAACATTATTAGGTTTTTTGAACAATTTGGAAACTTCATTGGACTTGTAAGTAATTTCCCCTTAAAAATTAGATTATTATGATAATAAAATTATTTTATGATCATAATAACTTTTTAATTAGCTAACAAAATTTTAGAAGTAAACAATTTTTATTATAATATTTAACTCATTTATTTTTAAACTTGTAAGTTTGACCTCTGTTGAGACCCTGTGGCTATTCTGATTATCAACCTTGATGTTGCTACTGTGTTTTAACTTACATACAAACCAACATGCATAAAAAACAAGCCCAAAATTCTCAGGTTCAAAAGATTCATCAGATCATAAAGATTAAAGACGAAGAAGAAATATGGGGTGTTCGCAATCAACGATTAGGATGGAGAACAAAGACGTTGTTAACCAATGCAAGGAAAGAAAAGCGTTCATGAAACAATCAATCTCCGCTCACTACGCCTTTGCCACCGCCCACTTCGCTTACGCCGCTGCCCTAAAAAATATCGGTGCCGCCTTCACTGATTACGCCCTACGGGAGCTCCAATTTGCCGATCATCTCCACCCGACGCCGCCACATCCCCGTTATGATTCCCATCGTCCTCCACCACAACCCGATGGTGGTAGCAGATTTCGTACATCAAAACAAGAGACGGGAAACAAGAATGTACCTCCTCCGCCGGGAAACGATGGAATCGTGCCGTGGGATTTCTTTTTTACTTCAATCGAGGATGTCATTGGGTCTGAATTGACCGAAGTTGATGGCAAGGGTAGTAGAATCGGGAAACATGATATTCAGAGGACGATGGCAGATGATAAGAGGAGACATGGCGGTGGTGGTGGCTGCCGTCATCGTGCAGTTACGGAGAGTGAGAAAGAACCACCATTGTCATCCATGAAAGAAGATGTGGAGAGTATGGACTTGTTACAGGTAATTACAGAGATCGATGATGGTTTTATGAAAGCTTCAGAGAGTGCTCATGAGGTTTCAAAGATTATTGAGGCCAATATGTTGCAACACGATTCTAATTCTGCAGATAATCCTGGTATATATATCATATGGTTCCCTAATCACTTTATCTTTCGTACATTTCACATATCATCTTTCCTTTGAAATGCTTGGATTTAGGCCATACTGATCATTCTACAAGAGTCACTACATGGAAACATTTGTTTAAAGGATACCAAATTTCTAATCATGATGAGGACAATTATGCTCCCAAAGAGAAACAAACTCATTACATGATACTAGACAATATACTAGTATGGGAGAAGAAGCTATATGATGAAGTCAAGGTATATGTCCAACCTTTTGTTTCTGTAACATAAAATGTTATGATAATTATTTGATCTGATACTCAACAGGCAGGTGAAGAGATGAAATATGTGTACAAGAAAAAGATTGCTTCACTAAACAAACTTAAAAAGCGAGGAACAAGTAGCGACTCATTGATGCGAATGGTAAGTCATCTACACACAAGATGCATTGTGCAAATGCACTCCATTGATTCAACCGTTTCAGAAATCAATCGCCTTCGTGATGAGCAATTGTACCCAAAACTAGTTCAACTTGTTAAAGAGTAAGTTTAGATGCAAAGAAGATTAAAGACTACTCAAAGAAAAAGTAAGAGTAAAATGTTTCAAAACTTGTTTGCAGGATGGGCGCAATGTGGGAGAGAATGGGAAAGCAACATGAAAACCAATGGAAGATGGTGCAGGAGTTGATCAAAATCTCTCAATCGCGGAATGAAACAAGCGAGGACAATCATAGCAACACAAAACAATTCCATGTTCATGTCAAGATGTGGTGTTTTGGATTTCAAAAACTCATTCTACACCAGAAGGAGTATGTTAAATCTCTCGTAAATTGGCTAGAATTAAACCTCATATGTATCAACAACAACTTAATAAACAAAGCTTCCTCTCAGCAAAAGCCTCAAAACCCTAAGATTCAGTCATTGTTACGTACCTGGCAAGATCAACTCGAGAAGCTTCCAGAAGAAGGTGCCAAAACCGCCATCAACACTTTCGCGGCTGAAATTCATACCATAATTCACTATCAATCAGATGAGATGCAGATGAAAGAGAGGTGTGAGGAAACTCGTAGGGAGATAACCAGGAAATCACGAAAGTTTGAGGAATGGTGCGATAAACAGATCGCGAAGAGAACTCCAACAGATGTGGTGGATGATATAGAGGTGATTGCGGAGCACCAGATTGCAGTAGAGGCGTTGAAACGCAGGTTGGAGGAGGAGGAGGAGGCATATCGACGACAATGCATTCAGGTGAAGGATAAGTCATTGATGAATATGAAAACCGGTTTGTCATTGGTCTTCGCGGGCATGTCGAAGTTCTGTCGTTCTTTGGTTTTTACCTAATTTACAAAATCCGGTAAAAATGTGGTACGCAATTACAGATTAACCCGAGGGGCGGCAGAGGATACGCTTCCAAAAATAGAGATTACCGTTAGGAAGAATGGGTTTTACTTTTGGGCTCTGTATGTTAGACACTTAAACTAAGGTCCATGTTCAAGCTAGGCTAGTAGTGGCCCATCTATGTAAGACCCACTGGCCACTGACTAATATATACTGCAAATAATTTGTAAAAACAAAGATTTTTTAAATTTGCAAATACTCATCAAATTTATCAATTAAACCATAAAATCAACAAAGACAAATATTTTCAAGTATGAGAATATAAACACCCAATGTGTAGGTTAAGACACGTAAAAGTTTATGTATAAATATACAATACACCACATGATATGATAGCTCGAAATTTAAAAAAAAAAAATCAAATTTTAATTAAACAAAATGAGTAAGATTTTGTTTGCGTGGAATCCGGTTTGTAAGATTGATTCCTTTAAGCACCTAATAAAGATTTCCACTACATGGAATCCGACTGTGAAATTGGAATTTTAAAACTGTTTGGTTGAGTTTTATAAATCATGTTGATTACTAGTCAAAACCTTGATTAGTACATGTCATTGTATCTCTTCAGTTTTTACATTGCATTGAGTGGGTGTCACGAAGTGTATGTGTGTAACCTAGTATGACCATTTAATGGTTACAAAAAATATTTTTTGCAACATATTTAGATAGATTTAAGACATTATTGTCATTTTCATCGGCCCTAGCTAAGAACATTTTGAAGAATGAAAAAACTGGAATAGCATATTCAAATCCTTAAAACTTGGAGAAGACGATGATTATAATTTTGAGCGGGTAGCCAGTGTAAGGATTGTAGGGCTTCCTATCCGTCTATGGTGTGAGGCGAATTTCTTTGCTATTGTTGGGAAGTTTGGGAAATCATAGTCCCCTTTGATCATATTGAGGGTAGATTAGATTTCTCGGTGGTCAAAGTTGTAATCCTTACTGGTACAAAGAAAAAAATTAATGAAGAAATTAGAGTGGAAGCCGAAGGGAAAATATTTGATGTTGGGTTGGTTGAGTATGAATACGAACCATGGTTCCCCTTCAAGTTCGAAAATGAAGAGCAACCGTACGAGTCAGAGTCGAATTATGCAACATCTGTGGTAGATTCAGACGAAGAAGTTGAAGCCTCGGATGAAGATGAAGAAGGTGTATCAGGATAGACGACGTAAAATAAGGAGAAATAGTTGGAGATGGGATATTCGACGACGCCAGAGAAGATGCTTTTTTCGGCGACCATGACACAAAGGAGATATGTCCATCTCAAAAGTCACCACCGGTCTTGGAACCACAACAGGTTCGTGCACGCCCTTTTGGTGGGGAAGCGGAATCGACTCATGGGGAAACAAATGAATTAATTATGAAAGAGAATTCAAATGAACCACGCGATGGAAATAGTAATGAACCTGGGCTGGTCATGGATATCCCATTTAAAACTTATGATTCTAATCTGGGCTATTCGTTGATGGGCTCCCCAAGCCTATTTCCTTCCCCTTAAATCTTGTGTAGTCTGGTTGCTTTGGCCCATTCCCATTCAAGGCATCCACACCCCCAGCCATCGAATAAACACTCAAAACACAGGTAAACAGAATTGGCCGTTCGTAAAATAAATGTGTCGCTCTCATGGAAGATCGCTGACAAAAGACTAATCCGAGTTTCCAGTTCATAACCAGTTCGGTGAAGGTGGAAAAAAATATTCAGAGGTTGGCGCTTATCGGTCGAACTCGACGCAGACGGCTTCCCCCAAACTCCTTGGCTCCAACAATGATCCAAGGATCAACGAAATTGAAGCCACGACAGAAATCAGTACCATGATTGGATATGAAATCGACGCCACAAACAAGCTGTTGGCTGAAATTCTTGGAGTACTTGGTGAGATCAATGTGCCCAAATGAATTTTCACTCGATCAACATTAGGGGATTTGGTGAGAGTTACAAGGTGGACTGGGTCAGGAGACTTAAATTGAAGCATATGATCTCTTTCTTAGCAATTCAAGAAAGTCGGATAATGAAGGTGGAGAATATTGATGTGAGGGCGTGATGGGCTGTAGATAACTTTGGATCGAACAGAGTTAAGTCACAAGGAAGGTCGGGTGGTCTTCTGAATGTATGGGACAACAACTTGTTCAACTCCATTGAGGTTATTTCGTCTAGACACTTTCTAATAAACATTGGTAACTGGAATGACATAAGGAAACCAATTATATTTGTTAATGTATATGGACCTCAATCGAGTACAGATAAAGCCACCCTTTGGAAGTAGTTACTGGAAATCAAAAACTCAAAAAATGGTATGTGGATCATAATGGGGGATTTCAATGCGGTGAGAAGGAAAGATGAGAGATTTCATTCAATCTTTTGCTCAAAATCTGCAAGTGATTTTAACAACTTCATACACGAAGCCGGTCTTACCAATATGAAAATTGGGGGGGGGGGGCATCGGTTTACTTGCTTCCGCAATTCAGACCTTAAACTTACCAATGACCGCTCTCCCTAGAGAAATCTCAGACCATTGCCTTAACCTCTTGTCCACATCATGCAGAGACTTTGGCCCATCCCCATTCAGGTTCTTTAACTCCTGGAAGCTTACGGACATGTTCGAGAAGGCCTTCATATCTAGCTGCAACAACTTTGTAGGATTCGATACTCCTGACATGTACTTAGCTGCTAAGCTTAAGCATATAAAAGGATTGAAAAAATGGCGTGCCACTAAACATCCTAGAGAAGAGGAAGAATTGACAAGGCTTAAAAAAAATGGTGCATCACTTAGATCTTGAAGCCGAGTCAAGACAGTTAACTGAACAGGAACTCGGGGTACAAGTCAATCATTGAGATGGAAAAAATCAGAAGTATTGATCTTAGACAGAAATCTAGGATCAAATGGGCAGTAGATGGTGATGAAAACACGAGCTTTTTTCATGGAGACATAAATAAAAACAACCAATAAATGGCCTAATGATTAATGGTGAATGTTGTACTGATCCAACAACCATAAAACAGAAGATATATTCTTTTTTTGCAAAAAAATTCTAAGAAAAATGGCCTGATAGGCCGAAACTAGTGATTCGACAGTTCAGGAAAATCCCACTTGTTGACTCGGAAGCATTAGAAGCACCTATCTCTCTCCAGGAGATAAAGAACGCGATATGGGCATGTGGTAATGAGAAGGCCCTTGGGCCTGCTGGATTTACATTTAAATTCATCAAGAAGTATTGGGATATCCTTCTTAGAGATGTTGTTGCGGTTGTCAAATACTATGAGCATCATGGAAAAATTGATTCCTCTTGTAACTATTCCTCCATCTTGCTAGTTCCCAAAATCAATGACCCTCTTTTGCTTAGTGACTATAGAGCAATCAGTCTCATTGGATGCATCTATAAAATCATTTCCAAGATCTTCTCGCTCATAATGAAGAAAATGATGGGGCATTGTATTGACGAGGTACAATCAGCATATGTTGAGGGAAGAAACATACTTAATGGGCCTCTTGTGGTTAGTGAGATTTGTTTATGAGCAAAAAAAAAAAGGAAGATTCTTGTGTTCAATGTGGACTTTGAGAAGACATTTGACTCAATAAACCGGGACTTCCTCGACACGAATCTAATGCATATGGGATTTGGAAATAAAATGAGAATGTGGTTAAGAGGTTGCCTTGGATCTTCAAGATCCTTCGTTCTAGTCAATGACAGTCCAACAGAGGAATTCCCTATATCCAAAGGAGTCAGATAGGGGGGACCCACTCTCTCCATTCCTTTTTACAACAGCTATGGAGGGCCTTAGTGTAGCTATAACATCCCCAAAAATACGATTCAAAATTTTCATTTTTAAGTTTACCAAATCACAACATAAAACATCATTGATTCCAAGATCATAAAAATATAAAATAATTATAGTGTATAATCAAGACAAATCGTGGAAAAACATTATTAGAGCATAAGTCCCAAAATCTCTACTGCGGAAAATCATAGTGTGATGCGTCGCGATCAAGCCGAATCCTTCCCTTTTGAGCTGGAAGTACTTGAAACACAAACTAAAACAATAAGCACAAAGCTCCGTAAGTTTCCCCCACCATACCACATATAACACAAACATATTGTCAGGCATATCTGGGTGCCCGACCTACCCTTCGGTTCATTTCAACCGGTTACAAGGTTTATTTCGCCCTCTACCACTACAACATAATATCACATATAAAACACATAATCATCAAGCAGTCCGTGAACCATGATAATTATTGTGACATCCCCAAAATCTCGGCCAGAAAAGACCAATTTTCATTTATGCTTTTAAAATAATTTCAGAGTAAATCCTTTTGATTTGAAAGAGTTGCAGAATTTGTTCCCAAAAACAAAGTATGATAAAATAATATTTACCAAAACATTTCATAAAAGAAATGTATTTTCATTATATAATTAAAACTCGGGATGTCATGTTCCGATACAGACCATAAAGCATAAACGATAACATTACAAGTCATTCAACAAATATATACATATACAGACTTGTAAACAAAACAACTTGATGATTCATCCATCTTATGCCCTTGTGCCACTTCCTGTAATACAAATAAAACTGAGTTGGTCAGGCTTGGGAGCCTGGTGAGCATATAGGGTTTTCAACCCACAATAAATAATTATATTTAATTCCACCAACCAACAATAACCCAATTACCCATTCCCGTTATTCTCATTTTACGTCCCTAAAACAACTAACACAAAGGACCTAGTCTTAGAATATTTCATCAGGGTGACAACAGATGCATTCGGGGGTTTCCCGGCAATATATGTCAAATAAAGCAACCATGAAGGGGATGGAATACAGCGAATGAACACCCAAGTTCATTAACACCTACAGGTGGCGCACCTACTAGCGTTCCACAGGACGGTCTAGAAAAGTCTGTGCTCGTCATCTAAACTCCGCTAGACGACTGAATAAAAAACAACATCGAGGCCTCTCATGTGTTTATCACACGTCAACTATCTACCCATGTTCTACCCGACATATTAGTATATAAAAAAATATATTTTTATACATAGTTTAAAACAAAGGTATAGCATTCTCATTCAATACATATTCCAAAACAACAGATGAAACACATACACATAACACGTATTTCATAGAGAATAAATCGTATCTATGAGATACAAGAAAGTGAATATACATTCACGCATATAACAACAAAATATACACATAACACGTATTTCGTATAAAATACTTCATAATTATGCGTTAGAAGAAAGTAACCACACACTCACTTGATCAAAAGATGATCGGACAGCACTATGACTTGTAGAAGTAGTATTCTTCGGCAGATCTGGAAGATCTTCACAAAAACCGGACTCCTCGCGGGCAGAGCTTCGGCTCGGGAATCGTACTTCTCGGGATCTTCGGGGATTTGAGACTTGCTTCGGGGCTCGGGAATGATACAGAGACTTCAGGATAATTCTTGCACGAAAAACGATGCAAAAATGCGAGAAAAATGGAAGAAATGAGCAAATAACTCGGTTACCCTCGACACCCTTTTATAGGGGCTGGAAGGTTGAATTACGCTGGACGTAACTTGAGATTACGTTGGGCGTAATGACGATAGGGTCGCTGACTCCCCCTAGATAATATCGGATAATATATATTTAAATTAAATATCGAAAATATTTAATAAACTTCAAAAATTCATATCTTCCTCATACGAACTCCGTTTTCGACGTTCTTTATATCCACGCGTAGGTGAGACTACGATCTAGAACTTTTGTTTAGACTTTGTCGGCTAATTTTGACTTTATTTTTATTATTTATTTTTAGTAGGCCGGGACAGGAAAACCCCGTTATAAAATCATAACTTTTTCATCCGACGTCCGTTTTCGCCTATCTTTTTATCGTTTTACCAATATTAACGAGACCTTCAATTCTCATTTAGATTGTTTCGGCTAAAAACCGCTCGGTCTCAAATCGAGTATTCGGGTTGCATACTGTTAAGTCGAAACTTCGAAAAATCATAACTTCCTCATACGAAGTCAGATTTGAGCGTTCTTTTTATGCACACTCTCGGTTTAACGAACTCTACGACTTTCATTTATATCACTAAGGCTAAATATCGCTCTAACGTAAATTTCACTTTTTATGTCATTCAACGTTGCCGGTTCTGTCGCGAAACTTCGATAGGTCATAACTTCTTCGTTATAACTTGGATTTCGGCATTCTTTATATTTTCGGAATCCTTGTTTTGACCACTACATCTTTATGCAAAGATATTGGGATTATCCCACACTTCAAATTTGACACTTATTTTATTCTTAATTCATTAAATTATAATAATTAAGAAAATAAACACATAATTCACATAATACTCAAATATTTCATCATTAATACTTCAAAAAGAGTTACAAGGGTTAACCTAGACTATTTTATTAATGATAATGCCTAGCCTGGAAACGCGGGTGTTACAATTATCACACAGACAACCATCATATAATACAAAAATAAAGGGTCGGCCTTGGTGTCTTCGGCCCGTAACATTCACAAAGGGAGACTCACCTGATTCTGACAAGCAAAATCCTAACAACAATATTGTCGTGAGCTAAACGAACCTCTCCCTTTCCGAACACCTACATGTCATACCAATAACTCTACTTAGATTAATTCTTGATTACACGTAGATGGTACTTTACTTACACCTTTACTTTTCAAAACTTTCTTACCATACATATTTTCAATAAATAAATTTGTCTTTATATAAATTGATATAGTTAAGAAAAGCTTTCATATTTCTAATTCGATCGTTAAGGTTGGAGGGTGTGGTGCCAACGAAACCACACTCTCTCCTCCGCCACATAAGCGTCATGTCATTTTTTACCACTTAAGTGTGGTTTCTTGCCACACCAAGGGAGTGGTGCCACACATTCTTTTTTTTTTTTTTTTTTTTTTTAACTATTTTAATTTAATTAAACTTCTCCTTTTTAAACTATTTTAATTTAATAAAACTTTTTTTAAACTATTTTAATTTAATAAAACTTCTTTTTTAATAAAAAACATAATTTTTCATTACTTGAAAATTAAAAAAAAAAAAACATTACATTGCATTACCGAAAAACAACGAAAACCACACACATAACATTTAAATAATCCTAGAAACTTAAAAAACACAAATAAAAAAACTAAAGCAAACTACATAAAGTCATTCTCCGAGAACTCGTCTTCGGGGTCATCCGGTGGATCCAAATTAAGGTTAATGTTTTGAACACCGTAAATGTGTTCCACAACGTCATTGCGAAGATTGTGAAATGTTTCAGTGTAACGTATCTCTTCTCTCCTGTTTATATACTCTGCTCTCCTGTTTATATACTCTTCGCCACCAATTTCTATTGGTTGTGTCTCTGATATGGATTCTTCCTCGTTAAACGCACATATCGGTCTTCCTTCGTCTTCAATAATCATGTTATGCAATATAAGACATGTATACATGATTTCTTGAAGTTTCTCCTCGCCTAAATAGGCTGCTAGTTTTTTCAATATGAACCACCGTTTTTTTCAGAGCTCCAAAAGCACGCTCAACATCCTTGCCAGCTCTTTCTTGAGCTCTCTTGAATTTCTTTCGTCTAGAACCATGTGGAGCTGTAAACGATTTAACAAACACAGCATACTCATGATAGATTCCATCGACCAGATAATAACCATGCTTATATGGTGTTCCACGCAGTTGAAAAGAAGAATCTGGTGCAGATCCATCGTATATGTTGTTAAATATTGTTGAACGATTAAGAACATTGATGTCGTTAATCGGGCCAGGAGAACCAAAAAAAGCATGCCAAATCCACATATCTTGTGATGCAACTGCTTCAAGTATGACCGTTGGGTGACCATGATCACCTCCGGTAAATTGCCCATGATATGTTGTAGGACAATTTTCTCATACCTAATGGAGACAATCTAAGCTTCCTAGCATTCCAGGAAACCCATGCACACTAACTTGATGAGCTTGCAATTGCATGATGTCATTACGTGTAGGCTTACGTAAATATTTTGGACCATAAAATTGAATCACAGTTTTGCAGAAAAATGGAGACTATCTCGTGCGATCCTAGAAGACATCCTAAAACTTTCTTCTAATGAATCAGGCGGAATGCCATATGCTATCTGACGAAGTGCGGACATACATTTTTTGTAAGGGAGTGAAACCGGGTGTACCTCTAGCATCGTAACGTTGTTGGAAAAAACTGCACTCCCTCGTTACATCTTCAACTATACGTTCGAATAAACCTTTGAACATTTTGAAGCGCCTACGAAAATAATACCCTTGGTAAGTGGCATTCTCTGCAAAATAGTCTTGCACCAAACATTGGTTGGCATCTTCACGATTTCTGCAAATACATCCTCGTGTTCTCCGTTGCGAACTTGCAGCTGCGTTGTTTCATACAATGTTGTATGTTTGTTCTGCAATTTGAACACACGCAATAGCGATATCAAAAATAATCTAAAATTCTTCAGAAGATGAAGAAGATGACATTTTTGAGAGAGTGGTGATTTTAAATTTTTTTTTTTTTTAGAGAAAGAAGAGATTGTGTTGTGAAAAAAAATTGAAGTTGATATGTATATATATAGGAAAAAAAAAATTAAATACTCAACAACCAACAACCAGTCGATCCTTCCCAATTCTCCTCAACCAATCACAAAATGCGGCCTCAAAGGACCGCACTGCGGCCAAAACCGCGCATGACCGCGGTGTGCGCGGTCCAGCTGGCGCGAACCGCAGTCCCAAACCGCAGCCACACCGTGCAGCCTAAGGACACTTATGTATTTTCAAACATAACATTTTACCCATAACTCGTTAAGCCAATATTTTGACAAGTGGTATAGCTATATAATTATTAACCATATATCTTGTCCCTTTACAGGTTCATTACATTTTAACTTTAAAATCGGTCATGAAGGAAATTATAGTCCATAAGCTTAATCAGATTAAGCCCATAAAAGAAGCCCATACTAAAATTAACCCATTGATATTTAATCCATAAAAGTGGCCCGATAGTTGCAATATAACCAAATTTGTGTACACATAAAGTCAAAGTGAACATTCACCTGTGTGTTGTGGCCTTCGTCTTCAGCACACCACTCAGCTTTCCGGCGACACAATCATCTCCGGCCACGGCTCCCGCGGCGGTGTCATTTCCTTCTTTTCGGCACACCATACCTACTTTCGGCAACATAAGTCAGCCCCCCGCCTTTTCTTAACTTGCTTTGCCGTAGAAATGGTTGTGTGACATCTTCAATCCACCGGAGCTTCAAAGATTTCTCATCTTTCTTCCCTATATCTCCCTTCCTTGGTCATCGGGAACTACTAACCCAAATACAACTCCTGTGCTTTAATCAGACCTTGACTCCATTGTGATAGTTCGTCGGAGAATGAAGTAAATCGAAATCATGAGTCTGTCAGAGTCCTCATCAGATGGAATCTCTCTCTCTCTCTCTCTCTCTCTCTCTCTCATTTATTGCTTGTCGGGACCAAGATAACCCACATCGGATTTGCAGTCAACCAATACAGAAATGCTACTCCATCTCATCGCTTATTTTCTGATTAATACCAGCCTGAATATCGCCGGAGATGGTAATATGTTTCATTGCTCCCTCCTCAGCCTAAGTTTTTCTCTCATCTGGTGGCTCTCAAACAAAATGCACGAAACCTAATGATCCCTATGAAAATTTATGTCGGCGATATATGGATAGAATCTCTCCATTTTCGTTCGTATTTCATATGTCGTTCCATTTAGAGAAAGAAAAGAACATTTAATTTAATAGATTAAATGTGAATATAATATAGAGGAAAGAGAGTGTAGAGTTAAATGGTTTGAATATAATATAGAGGAGAAAGAATGTAGAGTTGAATGGTTTGAACATTGCAATAGAATTAAACTGAACTAGGGAAGAATTAATCCCTACTTCCCGGGGCTGAATCCGCCAAAAAAATGAACGAAATGGGAAGATTTCATTGAGTAACATTGAACTGGAAAATCGAACATGAGTACATGACCCCATCTGTAACCAATAAGTGTAGCCTCTATGAAGAGCGTTAGTCATTCACATCCATTCACATAAGAAAAGTAATGAAAGCAAGTAGCTATATTATGTAAGAACATTGTCACCTCAATGAAATAACATACGGTTTCTCAAATTTGATGTGCTCTGTTCTGCTGTCTGTGTACACATACTTTGTAACCATGGAGAAAATAACATAATATTTAATTTGCTGAAAATACATAGTTTTTACACAAATTATTTATCTATTGTTTATTTCCTGTATACAAATTGAATACCAATTGAGCCATTTCTCCTCTATGCTTGTTCTTTGGAAACCTAATAACAGAAAAACTTCAAAAAAACTAAACTTCAAAAAAAAAACTTATGTTACTGGTATAATATCTCCTAGAAACTACAAATCATTCAAGTGGTAAATACAATAAACAACAACATATTTTAATTTTTATGTCTAATATAACATCATACTTTGTTTTATAAAAAATACATTGTTAAATTAAAAAAAAATGAAAATAATTATTACATGTTTTAAAACTACTAGAATGGTTATAACTTATAAATAGACTTTTTATTACAAAATTAACATATCAGTATATTTTTTTGTTATCTGTTTAAATGGGTCACATTGTGAAAAACGAAAAAAAGAAAAACTAATAAAAATGACTAAATGGACAAAAAGGATAAAATGGTCATTTTGACAAAAAACCCCAAGAAAAATTAAACTTTCTGTTTTAAAAGATTCATATCAGTATTTTTTTTTTTCAACTTAAGTATGCCAAATTATGAAACAACTTTTTTTTTTGGTAAGAATAACAAACTTGATAAAAAAAAAAGGTGAAAATGGTCATTTTAAATAAAAAAAGAAGAATAAATAATCTAAAGTTAGAAAATTCTATTGCTAAGTATTTAATATAAAAAATTTAAGAAAACTAATCAAATAATGCAAAGTCATACACAAAATAACCACAATTTAGAAATACACCACACACACATCCTTTATAAACTTTTATTATAAATTGTTTCTTTTTTAAATTGCAAAATAAATAATAAAATTATGAAAAAGTTATGTTGTTTTTTATCAACAAATACTTTGTTTGACAAAAAAAAAGTCAAACATTGAGATTTAGACAAAAGGGATACCTTTAATTTTTGTATATTGTTCGATTACATTGTCAACTATATCACTAAATTTAGGGATAAAGAATCAAATTTCATGATTATATAAGATATAGATGATGAGGTGTAACCACATACCTTCAAAGAAAAAGGTGAAAGTGTCGCCATATCCATGAACAAAACACACAAAAGCTTTGATTCTGACTCCAGGCCTTGGTAACCAACTTTTACAAAAAAAAAAAATTGACCTTTTGAGTTCGCTTCAAACCACTGTAATGCAAAAGAAGATATATATATATTTAGTCAAATCATCTAATTGTTCACAACCAAAACAAATATTTGTCAACCTCAAATGGTAGAATTAAGCTATTTATGAGTGGAGATGAACTTCAGATTTTGAAAGTTGAAAATATTAAGGGTTTAAATTTGATATTCAAATAGACGTGGTTAGTTTGTTTGCTCTATTTAGGGAAATCTGTTAGTTTATGTAGTTTTAGATTTCTTATTCTCAAACAAACAATTATTATCAATACTCATTAATGTTTAGAGTTTACTAATTTGACAGGTAAAGGTCAATTTAGACTTTGATTTTGGACATATGTAAGATTCTCAGTATTTCTAATCGCATAGAAACAATTATATAGATTGCTACGTTACATAGTTTAAATTGTTGGGAGATTTACCTCTTCGGTCCTGATGTCTGTAGGAGCCATGTACAGATTAATTAGAGCAAACATAAAACTCTCAATCAACAAGAAATTAGCAAAAAAAAAAAAAAAACAGAGAATCATCAATCGAACAAATAAAATATGAAGGTTGAACCTTGAAGAAAACATGATCAAGCTGTTCCCGAACTTGAGTGATACCCAACAACTCGGCATTTGCCGCCTCCTTTGTATAATCGATCTCCTGAAGAAAAAAAAACAACTATAACTCATGAGAAATTCTTGCATGCATCGTAGACCTTGGTTTTAAAAACCTAAAATGAGTGGATTGATATTCTAAAGGGGTATGAGTTTGCAGCTTTTTACAACCCAAATTGATATATGCGGTTGAATTTTTATGTAATATACCATCAATTTTCACATAGCATATGGATTGAAAACGAGAAAATTTGTTCAAATATTCAACTATTCACACTGTCATCGGCACCAAACCGAAATATTCCTTTATAAAATTAGAATTGCAACTACTACGGTCAACAAAGTAGATGAAGAGTTAACGATGTTTAGTTACTGCACATATATCGGTGAAGCTGAAGTTTGATTTTTACTTAGATTACCTTGAAGTCTTGAGTTTAGGTTTGTGATGGTGTTCTTTCGTGAACGCACGTGCACTCGCCAATGTCTGCTGTCGCCGGAATCGGTGTGGTCGGCGTCGTTATGGCCATAAGGAAGAGTCGATGGTGGACCGGTGGTTTATTTCTTCTAAGAGCAGTGGGGAAGGCGAACTGAAGTCTTGAGTTTAGGGTCGTAGTGGTTCCTCCGTGAACGGAGAAGGACTCGCCAACGTCTTCTGTCGCTAGAATTGGTGTATGGCCATTAGGAAGAGTTAATGGTGAACCGTATTTTTCTAAGATCATTGGGGAAGGGGAGCAGGAGACGTACGAAAGAAGAGATGTATTTGGAAAGAAGAGGGAGGTACTTGATCGGTAGATGTTGACTCAAAAGACGGAGGCAGATGAAAGAAATAAAAGGCGGTGGAAGGAAGTATCCGTGATTGGGCAAAGGAGGCGGTGAGGACAGTGAAAGAAACGTGGAAGAATAAGCTGAGTAGTAGGCAGGAACGCAACTCTAAGGTGTGAGAAGCATATAATGCAAAAGGAACAGGAAGGGGCACACCTCACGCATGTAAACAAAAACAAAACAGAAAATCATAAAAACAGATAAAAAAAAATCAACCAATCACATGAAAACCCTCATCATCAAGGACTTCTAAATTAGTATATATATATATATATATATATATATATATATATATATATATATATATATATATATATATATATATATATATATATATATATATATATATATATATATATGAAATAGATCCGGTAAGAAATTTTTTTTGGTAGGAAGGTAAAAAGTTTTTTTTCTACATATTTTTTTGACAAACAAAATAAATGAATCACTAGATGATTCATTTGTAAGATGATTCACAAGAAAAAATTCCCAAAAAAACATATTTATGATTCATTTTTAACTAAATTAAGAAAAAATTCACTTTTATGACAATTTTAGTGAATAACAACAAAATCATTGTATAAATGAATCATCGAGATGTTTTTTTGGAAATTTTTTATTGTGAATCATCTTACAAATGAATATCTAATGATTCATTTTGTTTGTTCGCGAAAAAAATATGTAGAAAAAAAAACTTCTTATCTTCCTACCAAAAATTTCCTTCTTATTTGATCTTGACTCTCTCTCTCTCTCTCTCTCTCTCTATATATATATATATATATATATATATATATATATATATATATATATATATATATATATATATATATATATATATATATATATACTGTGTATATTCTCTTTCCTACATAGCAATCCATACATCTCTTCATGGGTTTAATCCATTGGAAATGGCCTAAAGAATAGCATCCAATGTGGTTTTTAATTGAGAATTTACAACTATGGTCCCTAAGGTTTTGTCTTTTAACAATAAATTGTCCCTTCACTTATATTCTTATATTTGAATTAAGTTAAACCCTCATTTATTTGACATATGAAATCTTGTCATTTTTATATTAATTATTTATTTTATATACAACTAGACGACGAGCCCCACTTTGCGGGGTATGAATTTGTTAACAATATTTTGGTTATTTATGGTACACATTGGTCTATCCAACACCTAGAGCAAGCATTGGTCGAAACGCAATTGAAGTTGTTAACATGGAAACGAAAAAAAAATCAAAATTTAAAAAGCGCGAAAAAGAACGTATGTATTGCAAACTATAATGAAGTTCACTAAACACTTCAAAATCGGACGAATTTTAATGCAATTTACCGAGAAAAGTGAAAGTGCAGTTGGATTGGTCTTAAAAGTCAAAGGAAATAGGGATTGAAATGCAATTTAGCCAACAATCACCAGATGTTGTATGTTAACAATATGATTATGCACGTAAGTTTTATGGAAAAAAATTTCAATAAAAACAGGAAAGATTTTGTAAATTGTAAGTACAATGCTATTCGATGCATTTATAACCTAAAAATGGAAAAGTCATTAAAATGACAATGTGTTAACACGCTATCGCACGCGTATTAAATAAGTAAATTATCGCTGCTGGTTGCACTAAAAAGATAGCACATGGAAGCAAGGTCGAATCCTCAGGGATACAATCTAATGGTCAATGCCTTTTTGCATCAGACACAATCTAGCCAAGAAACAGAAAATATAAAATGGGGTTTTAATTAAAAACTAAAAACTAAAAATGTAGTGATATTAAAGTAAATGAAAATCAATAATAAAACGGTTTCAGTTCTGCTGTGACTTTCCTAATCATGCAATTAATCCAGATCTGATTATTCGAAATGCGTTCTATCTAAGCTGATACTGAGAAAAACTAACAAGCTCTAGTAATTTATCTTTTAACTACATTAGTAATTTATCTTTTAACTACATTAGCTCCAGATCTGATTTCATTTATGCTTTTTAAAATAATTTTCAGAGTAAATCCTTTTAATTTTAAAAGAGATGCGGAATTTGTTCCCAAAAACAAAACATGATAAGATAGATATTTATCAAAACATTTTATAAAGAAATATGATTTCATTTCACAATCAAAAGTCGGGATGTCATGTTCCGATACAGATCATAAAGCATAAACGATAGCATTACAAGTCATTCAACAAATATATACATATACAGACTTGTAAACAAAACAACTTGATGTTCGCCCATCTTAAGCTCTTGCGCCACTTCCTGTAATATAAATCAACTGAGTGGGTCAGGCTTGGGAGCCTGGTGAGCATATAGGGTTTTCAACCCACAATAATTATATCTAATTTCAACAATCAACAATAAACCCGATTACCCATTCCCGTTATCCTCACCTTACGTTCCTAAAAATAACGTCTATTATAAGGAACCTATTTCAGGATTTTTCATCGGGATGGACATTACTGCAGAGGGGCTTCCTCAACAATAAGTATCTTAAAGGCAACCATGTGGGGGATAGAGTACACCGGTGAACACGTCGTTCACAACACCTACAGGTAATGAGCCTGCTAGTGTTCCACAGGACAGTCTAGAATAGTCCGTGGTCGTCATCCATACTCTGCTGAATGACTAGAATAACACCAATAACACCGAGGCCTCTCATCTGTTTATTACACACCAATTACCTACCCATGTTCTACCCAACATATTAGTAGATAAAAATATACATTTTTATACATTGTTTAAAAACCTGTATAACATGCTTTAAGCAATACATATTCCACATAACAGATGAGGCATACACACATAACACGTATTTCATAGAGAATACATCAGATCTATAAGATAGAAGAGAGTGAATATACACTCACACGTATAACAACCAAATATATACACATAACACGTATTTTATAGGAAATACTTCATAATATTGCGTTGGAATGAAAATAACTACACACTCACTTGATCAGAAGATGATCGGGCAGCACTACGTCTTGCAGAAGAGGTGTTTCTCCGTAGATCTGGAAGATCTTCACAAAACCGGGCTCCTCGCGGGCAGCGTTTCGGCTCGGGAATAACGCTCTTCGGGATCCTCGGGGCTTCGGATCTTGCTTCGGGGCTCGGGAATGATACCGGGGCTTTGGGGCATAAACGACACGCAAAACAAGGCAAAACTTAGAGAGAGGGAAGAGTTTGAACAAGAGAAAATGGTTGAATTCGTGTTCTATTTATAGGCTGCTGGGTCTGGGATTACGCGGGGCGTAATCTCAAATTACGCAGGGCGTACACAGTACGCGGGGTGTACTCGCGTTACGCGGGGTGTACGTTGACATCACTGCGTGCGTCGACTGGTGGCACTCGAGTATTGGTCAGACAAGTTGCATCCGACTGAGTACGTTGGGCGTACTCAAATTACGCGGGGCGTAATTGACTCGTCGAACTTCTAAATTGCGTAACTTTCACATACGAGCTCCGTTTTCGACGTTCTTTATATCCACGCGAAGGTCAGACCATACTCTACAACTTTCATTTAGACTCCGTCGGCTAATTTTGACTTTTATTTTTATTATTTATTTTTAGAAGGCCGGGACAGAAAAACTTCGTTATAAATTCATAACTTCTTCGTCTGACGTCCGTTCTCGCCTAACTTGTCATCGTTTCGCTACTAACAACGAGATCTTCGATTCTCATTTAGATTGTTCCGGCTAAAAACCGCTCGATCTCAAATCGAGTATTCGGGCTGCATACTGCCACGTTGAAACTTCAGAAAATCATAACTTCCTCATACGAAGTCAGATTTGGGCGTTCCTTTTATGCACGCTCTCGGTTTAATGAAATCTACGACTTTCGTTTAGATCGCTAAGGCTAAATACCGCTCTATCTTAAATTCATATTTTACGTCACTACAACTTTATGCAAAGATGTCGGGCTTATCTCACACTTTAATTTTGATGCTTATTTTATTCTTAATTCGTTAAATTATAAAAATCAAGAAAATAAACACATAAATTACATAATTCACATAATTCACAAATAATACATTCTTATTATTTCAAGTTGAGTTACAAGGTTAACCTAGACTATTACATTGCTAAAAATGGCAAACCCAGAAACACGGGCGTTACAGGAATGCTATTAGGGTCTATGTATACGTCCAACAACAAAAACGATGTGCATGCGATTGCACGTAGACAACCTACGATCACAGGTTTTGAAGAAAACACGACTCGTGCCTTTTTAATGAAGTAGAATGCTATTTTGGAACTTTTTGGCCAACCTGTGATTACATGTACACAACCTGCAATCACAGGTTTTCATTTTTCACCGCTGGATGAATTTTTGGCACTAAAAAAACCTCAAATCCATGCTACGACCTAACCTGCGATCGCATAAAGGTTCCATGCGATCGCATAGAGACTACATGCGATCGCATGTTGTACCTAAGACGTTCGAAATTTCGTCTACTTTTCAGATCATTTTTAATCGCGTCAATCGTAGTTACGGTTCTCGAGATATGGTCAAAATACTGACAGGGGGTCAAAGCTGCCAGTAGCATCCTTTAATTTTAGATTACATATTTTATCGTCGTGTGATCAATTCGATCAAATGTTTCTTGACCAAAGCATCTTGCAAGAATTTCTAAACATACTCCACAAGTTCCAAGCTCCATTTTAAGCTCCAAACATGCATCCAACTGCTCCTAAAGCACCACTCCACTCGAATTATCTGAAATTGACATAAAAACATGAGCAGTATGAGAATTCTAACAAAAGACATGAGCTGAACACTATTCAAATAAGTGACATACAAATATACAAAATATGATACTAAATGATAATGAAAACTACCCTAAAAGATGCATAAAATGGCATCTAACACAATGCAAAAAACAGGAAAAAAAATAGGTACAACCTCAAAGTATAGGGCATTTTAGTACAAAAAAATAGAAAATGTACCTAATGGCATTGTAGTTAGGTTTTTGGAAAAAAAATTCAAAAGAAAATGCAAAAAAAACATGAAAAATTCAAAGTATGTTATTTACTGCAATTATACAAATGCTTCCATGTCACATGCAATATTAAAACAAATAATTGTTGAGTAGTTGTAATTAGAGGTCTATAACAAACAAAATGAGAGTATTTGTTTAAAATTTACCAAAAAATTAAAAATGTTGCAACCTTGCAATTATAGCACCAAATCCAAGAATAAAACCGAGCTGCAAAAACTTTGCAAAATAGAAGAGTCAAGTTAAGCCGAAAAATAATTTAAGTTGTTGTAAAGATTAATCGAATTATGATAGTTAACTTATAAATGTAAAACTTAATAACAGAAAAAAATCCTTTAATCTTAAAACCATCCATTAAGTCTTTCTTCCTTGGATCATAATTCATACAAATTTTGAGCAACGTACCTATAAGTCGGACAATTTTTCCCCTGCCTCGTTCTTTTGGTTCAATTAGTTTGTTCGATTTTGCCCTGAATCAAAACCATATCACATCCACCATTGAAATGTAACACCCAAAATTTCAAGCCAATTTAAAACTTTTCAAAACATTTAAAACCAACAGTTATTACATATTTGCTTTCAAAATAGTCTATAATAGAGTTTTTCCCATAAACATATAGAAAACACGAGGAGCTATACGATCACGCATTCGCCTTGCCGCGATCATCTGATGTTCCTGAAACAATAAAATGAAATTGTAAGCTTGAAAGTTTAGTGAGTTCCCCCAAAATACCGATACACTGCACATAATACATATACAAATAACAACATATACTCATTCCACAACGTTACAGACTGGATTACCCCCTAGGACCACAATATGTGTCTGGATTGCCTTCCGGGCCCACAACTCACATCTGTATTGCCACTGAGCCCACAGTACGAGTCTCTCCCTCAGATCGTATCTGGAATGCTCTCGGGTTGGTTGGTTACCGCACAGAGCAGTATCACCTCAACCCATCCCACATAACATGTCGACATATAATACAACTAATGCACATACAGATGATTACATGATACTACAGGTAGTTCTACAGATCTACCTAACTGGCATAGCAATTAACATGAAACACTAACTCATACTCAACATACTACAAGCTGCTAGGAATTCATACCCAACGGGTCGGCCTTGGTGCCTTATACCCCTTAGTATATTGAGGATAACTCACCTCACATTATCGACTCAAAGATAAACTCAAGCTCTCAGATTTCCGGATAAAACTCCACCA